TACTTATTTTACCGAGGAATTTACCAATTAATTAATTAAAAATCCTACAATGTGATTTCCTGGATTCTTTCCCCCCATTCTGTCTCTCAAGTGTACCTAGGATGAAAATTACAGGCCTCTCTCATCTTCTTAAGTGGGAGAACTTGCACAATTGGTGGCTGACTAAATACTTTTTTTCCCCACTGTACATTGTTCAATGTTCCAAAATCACATTGGTTTCTCATACAGCATCTCTGTATAGTATGTGTATTCACTCTCTGTCCTACACGGCTTGTTGAAGCTCCTGCCCCCCCCCTCCCTGTGAGCCCAGTGGCCGTCTGTGAGACAGCAAGATACAGCGAAACTCAGCCCGAACACACACACACCCGCAACCTCGCTGGGAGTTTGTGTGTGTGCTCACACACCGACTAACAGCCTCGCCGCGTCCCGCCGTCTCAGGGAGGAGAAATCGGCGGAGCTGCAGCTGAGAAAAGATTGAGTGTTTGTGAGGAAGCCCACGGATTGGTCCATTTGGACCAATCCGCTGACTTAACCTAACGGCTCCACGGACGTAACGTAACGGTTCCATGGATTGGTCCATTTGGATCAATGGGTCCATTTGGGTATATGGTCACGTCACCATACCCAGGAAGAAACAAATGGAAAAAGAGAAATCTCCAACGAGGCGTTCTGGGGCAGCATAGACAGGTCTTTTCTGTGTTAGAGTTTTTCTCGCTACAGGGTGTACTTTGAGGGTTTGTGACTCTGCAGACCGTTTACATGCATAACAACCTTCATAACACACAAGGGGACGGGTAATAACCGGAAAAGCATGACATGGGACCTTTAATTTAATATATTTTAGATGTTTTATAATTGTATTATTTCGATTTTATATGTTATATACTAAATCATTTAGTACTTATTTACTTTTTTGTAATTGTATCTGATCTATTTTTGGGATACATCTTTTATTTCCTTTTTAGGTTTCCTGAGCGTGCTGATGAACTGTCAGTGGCAGAGTTTACGGTGTCGGGTGGAGGCGGATCTACTAATCATGTTTGGAGAGGAGGAGGAGGAAGAGGAGGAGAGGGAGGAGGTGAAGAGGTCGCCTCAGTACACCGTCCAGCTCAGAGGCTGTGAGGTCAGAGCGGGCCCCGACACCGACCACTCCTACAGGATCACACTGAGCATGCTCTGTGACCAGGTGGCCGTGCTGGAGGTGAGCTGGAAGGCAGGAATACAGGGAACGTTTTACAGATTCATTATGCATAAGGGGAGATGTAAACCATACAAATAGAACAATAACAAATGTGTGAGGTAGATCATACTAAAATGTTATAAAATACAGTTATCTTCATTTAAATGTATTTATTTTTTATTTATGTATTGTTTTTTGCTTGTATTGACCTTTTCACTTTTTTATATGTAGATATTCTTTATAGTTTTTATTATTTATTTTGTTTCTAATTATTCCTAGTTATTTTCTCTATTTGTGTTGCTGCAACACCTGAATTTCCCCTTACCTTATCTCTTTGTCAGTGTCTTTATATCCTAAGAAAGTACTGGTATCCTTAAAGAAAACAACAAAATAAGATTTATTTCAATTGTTAGATTTACAATTTTGATTTTTTTATCAGTTAATCTTTGGAAGATTGGACCAATGAAATGTATTATAGAATGAGCAGTTTGCTTTTATGTACATGTATATATGCATGGTAATATTTTGGAAGTTGGAAGGACGCCTTTTTATCCTTAGTCACGATTAGGTTTTTATGAGGAAGCAGACCCTCTTCCAATATATATAATTTACAAAAGGGTTTAGAATATACTGGATATATGCTGTAGAGAAGACATCTCTTAAAGAAACAGGAATAATTCTATTTTTATAATCTCTTTCATTTTTTCCTTCCTTCCTTCAGGTGAGTAGTTCAGGTGAAAAGGAGCGCTGGTTAAAGCTGCTGCAGGATGGAGCTTCCAAAAATCAGGAGAACACAGATAAAGCTCTGAGGTAAAACAGTTGGTGTGTGTTGTCAAAGTGTTAACATAAAACAAAATGTGCTATTTGTCTTTTTATGCCACACTAAACGTCATGTCGACTAAATGTATCTCAAAGCTTTACTCACCCCACACCAGACCAAAGTGTAGTTTACAATAAATAATTTATAAATGAATTAGTCAAAGGACAAACTAGAAGATATGTTGAAGGTTTAATTGTTCATGTAAAAAACCTTTCATGGTTCTAGCTTTACAAATGTGAAGATTTTCTCTTTTTACTTTAAACTATCGGATAAATGTCAATGACTGTTGGTTGGACTAAAGAAACATTGTCACTTTGGGCTCTGGGTAATTTGTGAAAGCATTTCTCACTATTTATACTTTTTTCTCAAAACCTAACCCTAACCTTCAGTCGATTGATTTGAAAATAATCAGCAGGTTAATCCATAATGAACAGATCATTAGATATTGTTAAAATGAGCTCCACTTCAACCAACTATAACAATATAAATATTAGTACTGCAACTTATGTGAGATGCTGTTCTGAAAATCAGGAGTTTGGCGATTTTATTCCAACCCCCTGAAGTCAACATGTTGAAGTGTCCTTTGGCAAGATACTTGATCCTATTTGTCGTAGGCATGTTTACTGTATTGAAATGTATGCCACTTAGGATAAAAGGGTCAGTGAAATGTAATGTAATGTAAAAGAGAAATGGTCCAAGAGCCTTGAGGCACCCCACATCTTCTTCTTGTCCTGTAGTTTTTACGTTTCTTCCCCTCTCCTCAGTGGGCTGCAGACTCAAAGGTTTCCCAACTCCAACACATACATGGACGACCCCTTCCATCTGAGTGGAACATATCAAGACCAGCCCATCTACTCCAACACCTCCTTACTGGATCACATGGTACACTCCATATGGAATATGTATTTAAGCTCCACCCAAAAACACTCCAAATTCATAATAAACAATCAATACATTCTCTGCAAATGAAAAGTGTAACCGGGTCGAAAAGGGTGTTACATTTACATCTAGGCTGAAAATTAGGATGATCACCAACGGTCAAACATTTTTTTTTTCCTCCCATAGCTACCAGCGCCGCAGCGCCCCCCAGATCTGGCGCCCTAGGCAACCGTCGTGCAAACAATAAAAAAAAAACATTATGAAACTCATTATGACATTTTACACATGTATTTGGGGGTCCCTGCATCCATCTCTTTTTAAGAGGCCTGAAAGATATTAAAGTCCCCTATTCTACAGTATTGGGGCAACAATTTTAGTTTGAATTAAGAATGGATTAAGTGTTAAGTGTATAACAAAATAAAAATATGTCAAAATAGTAAATAGATTCTTATTTATTTTCACCCATTTTCCATTATTCTAAATATGTTTAGGTTTCCATGATTTTTGATTATGACAGCTAATGATGATAATGATCAGTGTTTGTGATGTTTCAGCTTCACAGCTCTCAGGATTCAGTTCGCCCCTGCTCGGTGTCGTCTAAAGACTCTGTGACCTACAGCAACACCACATTCAGCAGCCACAGTGAGTCTCTATTCATATATATATCTATGAATAAACTCTCTGCCAACAGAAAAAAATGAAGGCCTAACCTCACTTTTATAGTTTACAGTTGATGTTCTCATTTAAAAAGGCCCTATTGGGCTTTTTAGGGCCTTCATTTGCCTGTAGTGTGTTTTTGTGCATGTTTATGGTCTGCAAAGGCTCAAATCCCACACACTCCCCCCCCCTGCCTGAAACGCCTCAATAGAGAACCGCAGTAACGCGTCGTAAAACCTTGAAAAACCAATGCAAATTCTCCATAGGATTTTGGAAAATAGCTCGAAATAAGGTCTGTGGTTGACACACATTTAAGAGAGGGATCACGTTTTGTTCAGCCGGATAATCTCCACATGTCAACCCTACTTTTATAATTTTTGAATCATAAATCTAGTCGCCAGAAGCAAAATGCTAACGTTATGCTATAAACGAACTACAAGCCAGTACAGCAGCAGGGTCGCACGACTTCAACGTCACGCCAACTTAAGATCGTTTCAACTGACTTGCACTGAAACTGCACTTTGAACACTTTAAATTAAATATATTAACATTTTAAACTGTATACCCCGGTTATCTAGGCCCTTTTTGTTTTGTTTAATATATACCACGTTTATCTAGGCCCTTTTTGTTTTGTTTTATGTATTCATGTCACACTGTGGGAAACGATATTTCGATATTTCTGGATGTATAACACATGTAGAATTTTTGACAATAAAGCTGAATTTGACTTTCACGCGCTTGCATATTTTAACAAAGCTTTTCATTTTAGCCACACTGAATTTAACTAGAAGTCATGGCTGTGTCAATTACCAGTCTGATATCGTTTTACAAAGACGACAAGAAGAGTGTAGATAGAGGAGAGAACCACTACAAGTCAGGACACGTAACAGTGCAGCCTAGATGAAGGTGTGCTTACCGGTGTTGTCAGGGCTAGCATGAGGGACAAGGTTTATAGTGTCGGTGAGTAGTGATAGCAAGAGTACCGTTAACCTAGAGTTAATTTATTCACATTAATTCCCATCAACAAATCAATTGTATGTGTCACATGAAATCTTTATTAGGCAAGGCAAGTTTATTTATATAGCACTTTTCAAAACAAGGCAATTCAAAGTGCTTTACAAAAAATGAAAGACATTAAGAAAATGGCATTTAAAATCAGTCATTAAAAAGAAAAGCTAATAAAATAAACATTAAAAGAAAAAATACATGGATAAAAGTTACAGTGCAGTCTAAGATATGAATAGTTCAATTAAAAGCAGCGACAAAAAGAAAAGTCCTCAGCCCGGATTTAAAAGTAGTAAGAGTTTTAGCGGACCTGCAGGTTTCTGGGAGTTTGTTCCAGATATTTGGAGCATAATAACTGAACGCTGCTTCTCCATGTTTAGTTATGACTCTGGGGACAGAAAGCTGACCCATCCCTGAAGACCTGAGAGACTTGGATGGTTCATAATTTAGCAGGAGGTTAGAAATGTATTTTGGGCCTAAACCATTCAGTGCTTTATAAACAGCAGCAGTATTTTGAAATATATTCTTTGACACACAAGGAAGCCAGTGTAAAGACTTCAGAACAGGAGTGATGTGATCCACTTTCTTAGTGTTAGTGAGGAACCAGAGTAAAGACTTAGTGTTGATCCCTTTCTTAGTGTTAGTGAGGACTCGAGCAGCAGCGTTCTGAATCAGCTGCAACTTTCTAATAGATTTTTTAGTGAGACCTGTGAAGACACCATTGCAGTAGTCCAGTCTACTGAAGATAAAAGCATGGACACGTTTTTCCAAATCCTGCTGTGACATTAGTCTTTTAATCCTAGATATGTTCTTTAGGTGATAGTAGGCTGATTTAGTAACTGTTTTAATGTGACTGTTGAAACCAATAACTAATTTAACCCGCTGACAAGAGAGCCCACCTCCGAAGATCGTGACTGGCTGAGGGACAGACTCGGGGGCAGGTTCTCAGGAATTTCTTGGCTTCTCTCCCCCGAGCCAGAAGAGGAACACTACAGCTTGGAAACACTTACTGTTCCTGAAATTATCAAATCTGTTGGGCATCAGGGACCTGAGGCAATTGTGGCAAGCATGGCATTGTCTGAGGAGCAACAGAGGGCAATTCAGGTGGCTACCACTGGTCAGCGAACCAACCCAAACTGGCATTTGTTCAGGAAAGGAAGGTTGACTGCCAGCAACTTTGGAGCTGTCCTGAGGTCAAAGCGTGTGACTGCTTCCTTTATTGCCAGGGTGCTAAGGCAACAACAGGCCCTTGATGGTGTTTTGTCTGTACAGTGGGGGACTATGAATGAATGTGAGGGCGTCAGGGCATTCACCACTGCAACTCAGATGCAGGTCCATGAGTCAGATTTGTGGCTCTCCCAATCAGGATTGTTGGGGGCATCTCCAGATGGTCTGGTAGGGTCTTCCGCTGTGCTGGAGGTAAAGTGTCCCTACGGAGCCAGGGAAATGACAATTAGTGAAGCATTGCAAATCAAGGGCTTCTTGTCAGTAGGAAGGAGAAACATTCAGCCTGCGTGAGGAACATCCTTACTGGCACCAAGTGCAAGGTCAGCTTCACCTCACTGCAAGGAAGAAGAAATAAAAAAATTGTGAATTGTTTTTAATTTACATTTACTCGCCTTTGCAATGTTGTGGTTGTTAGAGTGTTAGGT